TTCAGCGTATGTGCACAGTTCCTGTTGACTATGTCTGGGTGGAGTAAAAGCAATAACAGCTGTATGGATTATTCATCAGCCCTACAGTGCTGAAACAGTTAATTATTTATCCTCCAGATCTTACTCAGAAGTAGAGACAATGAAGTCAAAGAACAACTGCAACTGTAACATGAAACTTTAAATGATCTGAATGGCTTACATGATTTGAATTATAGAAGTTTTGAAAGAAGTCAGTGGCAAACACAGAGACAGGATTGAAGGTCTTCATTCCAGTCCTATTCCGTCCATAGCAGGTGACCATCTAATTTTTTCAAAATGGCTTTCCGACTGCTCACACAGCCCGTCACCTTAGGGAGCTGTACCTCTTGTGGCTGCTCTCTTCCTAGGGAATCTTTGCAAGGGCGAGGAACAATATAGCATCATTTGCAGTTCCTGCCAGGACTTGTCCTTTCCATAATCCAAGGTAGTCTTGGCCTTGCTTTCAGCGTTCAGACTTTTAGATGATGTCAGCTTTTGAACTGCACTGTCCTCCATGTTTGATTTTTTTGGTACTCCATACTTTAAAAATGAATGTGCTGCAATAGAAGATATTATGTTGTCGGGATTCTCATACTTTCAAAGAGTTCTTAGGTCTGAATTGCTATCTTCTTGGTCTACTTCTGGATTAGAAGAGGTACCAAAAGGAGAATAGGAGGAATACCCAAAACTACCAATAAAACTAGAGAAACCAGGTTACTTGAACCTACTGCTGGATTCTTAGGTTTTTTGTAATCTAGATAAACATAATGTAGTTGGCCGTTCAGCTGCAGTGTAGCTAGAATGTTCCAAGCAAATGGTTTTCATATGCCGCAGCAGAGGGTTTTTTTCTTATTATGAAATAATTTAGCTATGCTATGGAAATGGCATATAAACACTACTCAAATTATGATAAGACATTTCCACCAGAGTTGTAAATTGTAAAATGACATCTATATGTAGCATTTCTGAGTTCTGGACACTATAGTTATAGACTTGCTGTGTAGATACAACAGCTCTGCTGGCATAAATGAAATAGCATACACCAAAGTTTGTGAAAGTGAGTCTAGGAAATGCACATATGCATGTATATTACACTGTGTATTTCTGCAGGTATCTGAAGGCTCATTTGCAACCTAGTGTTCAAGTACAAGAGTCACAATTCCTGTTTTCTTCCTCTAAGCAGAAGTGACTTATAACTCCTCTTCCTCCTATACCTTTGACATGAAAAGTTCTGGAAATGGGTGAATAGATTGGGGGATGAAGGCAGCTGCCACAGAACTCTCTTTTCTCCCTTCAGGAGAGGAGTTAGGTGGATAGCTAATTTGTTACAGAGACAGATTTACTGAAGGGACCAAGTGGAAAGGAAAACTCCCTGGTTTGGTCTCACATGCTGGGAGAGACAGCGTGACAGTGACATCCTGTGATCTTGCTTGAATTCTGCCATTCTTTATTGGACCAACAATGCCTAAGGAGTATAAGCCTGAAATATCCTTCTCTAGTTCTGGCTTTAGAAATTCTCAAAAGTAACCGGAAACACTCAAATACATTATTAGTAGTGGCCCCATCCTGTTCCACGGTATTGTCTGTGAAACCTTCTAGAAATGTCACTTCTATCCCCTTTAGCTGGTATGTTGACTTTAGCTCTGAAACTATCTTTAAAAGTGCATTACTCTATTTAACTACAGGATGCAGCATATGTTTCTAAAGTATCACGTGGACAGCAAAACAACCTAGGTTCTAATCACAGTGACTCACAGGTGACTTTCCTTGTACACTGTTCACATTGTGGTCTCAGTTCTCCTTTCCATGGCACAGTGATCACCACCACCACCACCATGAGCTGTCTGCGTGTGAAGAGATGAAATGTTCTGCACTGTAGCAGAGTACTCTT